CTGGCTTCGGGAGACCCTGCACATAATCAGTAGGAACTTAAGCTGGGCACGGTCGGGTGAACTCTTCTCCCTTGAAATGCCCCTACATCATATGATCACCGGGTGGCTAGTCCTGATTTGCACTTGTCTTCTAGCTTCCTGAAAAGCTCAATGCCCAGAACAGGGCTAAGATAGTTGCCCAGGGTGAAATCTGCAAAAGCCTTCTTTCAATCAGCCCAGGAAGCCAGCAGCTGAGCTTTCCCTACACTTGCTTTGGTATCACACAGTATTCTGAGCCTGGGGAAGCCTCAGTATGAGGACCTAGGAAAGTGGGAGGATGGGCTCTGTGCAGTAATCTAGTTGCTAAAGTCCTCACCTTGCACGCACTGCTAGGATCCCATATCAGTGTGAGTTCTAATCCTGGCAGCTCTGCTTCCCATACAGCTCCCTGCTTGTGGCCTGGGAAAGCAGTGGACAACGGCCAAAGCCTTGGGACCTTGCACCCACATGGGAGACCTGGAGGAAGCTCCTGGCTCCTGGCTTCAGATTGGCTTAACTCTGGTCGTTGCAGCCACTTGGGGAGTGAATCAGCAGACAGACAATCTTTCTCTCTGTCTCTCTTCCTATGTATCTGACTTTCCAATAAAAATAAATAAATCTTAAAAGAAAGAAAGAAAGTGGGAGGGCCCAGGTAAGCGAAGCAGAGTCCCAGACTGAAGGATAGTGGATGGCTCGGACAAAAGATCATGCTTCCCAGTCACACACAGGGGGGCACTTCAAAAAAAAAACTTGGAAAATGCATTTTATATTTAAGAAAACTATGCATGGATTTAGAAATGTCTGCATGGAAATTATCTTTTAATTCCATTTTTCAAGAATGTTTCGAAAAATTCTGAATACTGGAAAATCTTCAAACAGATGAAAGGAGGATTTAGAGGCAAACTTTAAAATAATGCTAATTTATTGGAAGGGGATGGGGGAGGGAAGAAGAGGGAGAAAAGTCACTCCCCAAATGCCTGTGTAACAGCTGGGTGTTGGCCAGCCCTAAGCTAGGAGCCTGAACTCCATCCTGGTTTCCTGATTGAATGGCAGGGACCCAATTTTTTGAGGCCTCACCTGCTGCCTCCTTGGAATCCAAAACAGTCCAGACTGGATCCTAGGCATTCAGACACAGGTTACAGGTGTTCTAAAACTGCTACACCAAATGCCAGCCCCCAGGGCCCGTAAGAAACAACATCACATCCAATGAACTCGAATCCCATTGGGTTCTATGCTTTATGCTTGGTTTTAGTTAAAGCAGCAAGAATGACTACCCTTCCTAATCAGGCAAGAAAGCACCAAGTGTTTTCTGTCTCCCTTTTGGAAACAAGTAGGTGTCTGCGCACTTGAATTTGTCACTGTGCTTCAGCTCTGCAGACAGTGATCTGCTGGCACAGAGACTCACAGACCCGATGCCTGCAAACAGCTGCACCCTATAGTACCAGCAGGTGCATGGACAGAGCCCAGTGGAAAAATTCAGTATGAGAACAATGGTGCCCTTATGACATCCAGCAATGAAGCCCAAAGCTAGCCACCACTGCATTGCATTTGAGGACGGGAAGAGATAGAAACTAAGCCGCAGCTCCCTGTGGGATTTGGCCTTTTTGTCCCTGAATCAAATCTGCAGACACATCCAGGTAGAGCACCACTGTGCAAGCAGCTATCAATTGTAGGGCCTGGCCAACCAGAGTTAGTGAAGTCATAATGATAATAATAATAAAAAAAAATCCTTCTAGAAAATGTATTCCTTTCCTTTGAACATATCCTTTCCTCCCGTGGGCTGCACTGCCACAGTCACCAAGTTTACATTTACATCCAAATATGCACACACAAAAAAATTACTGATGCATCTCACTCCCCCGGTGACTTTATAACAGGTTGCTAGGTAACAGTGCATACAAGTCAGGTTTCAGGACCTCTAGTAAGCCACCATAAAATAGCTGCTTGGGCCTTTTGCATAAATAGTGCGCATTTGTTATCTGTTTTCTCTTGCTGATTGATCATCCAGTAAATACTCAGACTGCCAAATGGAAAACAATTCCTTATCAATAGTTAGCCGGGTGGGGGGAGGTGGCAGAAGACCACTATAGGAGGCTTCTGTGCACGTGCAGGACCCTTCACCCCAACCTAGGAAGTGGCTGCTTCTTCTCCCTTTGTGGCCCTGCTGCGAGCCATGCTAGTTCAAAACAGCTGAAGGCTGAGAGAGGTGGGGCTGGAGCTCATGGCAGCCAGAATCCTGACGGAGGCATTAGGAGTTGAGCCCCAAAGATGTAATGCGGCAGACCCAGTGCTTCACCCAAAGCCAAAACCGTCCCCGGTCCGCCCTCACCTTCCTCCAGATTAAAACAAAAACAAAACGAATCAAAACAGAAATCCCTGGAAATGAAGAGGCAAAGGAGTTAGCTGTCCTCCTAGTTGGCCCATGTTTGTTAAGCAAAGGTAGCTCATTTTGAGCTATGTGAAGGGAAAATGAGTGAGAGGCAAGAAGGTCGTGGAAAATGAAATTAAATGCTAAATTTAGGAGCTAGTGTTTGACACAGCACATAGGACGCTGCTTGGGGTGCACACACCCTATATCAGGGTGCTTGGCTCACGTTGCTCACGCCTCTACTTCCAACCCAGCTAACATGGGCCCTAGGAGGCAGCAGGTCTTGGCTCCTTGCCACCAGTGTGGCAGACACAGGTTGAGTTCTAGGCTCCTGGCTTTGGCCTGACCAAGTCCTGGCTGTCGTGGAGATTTAGGAAGTTTACCAGCTTTTTTCACAAGATACATTTTCCATGAACTTTTTGAAGATCCTAGCATTTCTTTCCTTGGGGTGGCCCTAGAAAAGTTCAGAGGAATCTCTTTTGCTCTCACTCTGGCAGGTGACACCATCCAGACAAGAACTGCAAATCTCACAGAGCTAAAATCCTAAAGGAAACCTGAAACCATGCATTTCTGCTGATGCTCTCCAACGACCTGTATACAAAACTCACAGCTTTTAAAATCCCATTTTCCTGGGCCCAGCGGCGTGGCCTAGCGGCTAAAGTCCTTCCCTTGAACGCGCCAGGATCCCATATGGGCGCCGGTTCTAATCCCAGCAGCTCCACTCCCCATCCATCTCCCTGTTTGTGGCCTGGGAAAGCAGTCGAGGATGGCCCAATGCTTTGGGACCCTGCACCCGCGTGGGAGACCCAGAAGTTCCTGGATCCTGGCTTTGGATCGGCATAGCACTGGCCGTTGCGCTCACTTGGGGAGTGAATCATCGGACGGAAGATCTTCCTCTCTGTATATCTGACTTTCCAATAAATAAATCAATCTTTTTAAAAAATCCCATTTTCCTGAAAGTGGACTGGGAAGAGAGAAAGGCAGCAAGGAGGACGCATGGAGCCTCCCCATCCAGTGTTCTTTCAAGCGGAAGTGGGCAGCACTACACCCCGGCCGCCTGTCCGTTGCCAGCAGGCCTTCCTCGCCGCCCCTGTGCCATTGCCCACTCTCACCCTTCTCCATTACTTTCGGAGACACTTCACTTCCCATTCCCTGTCTCCCCCAGCCAGTGTCCTCCCACTGCTGAGGGGCTAGGGCCTGGGGTGAGGGGGACATCCCCAAAGACGCACTGATGTGTCCCCAAGAAGAAGGACTTCAGAGTGGAAGTGAACCTCTAATTCACCTGGAAATGACATTTAGTGAAATGTGACTCACAGTCCATTTAAAGGAAGGCGGTGACCAATTATTCTCCATTTAAAGGGTATTGTCAATCTCCAAAGAGCTGAAATGGCATTTGGAAATCATCTTGGGGACTGCCATCTTCATTGAAAGACAGAACCAATTCTCCACCGACCTTTCCCCACCCTCCAGATCGCCTTTAAAATTTAAAATCATACTTTTGAAAGCATAATGAGTAGCAGCACAATCCCACACCAGTCTTAGTCTAACAGGCAAGAGAAACAGCGCCCCTGACACCTCTACATCCCGTTCAACAACACAACTTAAAAGACACTGGGAAAAAAATAAAAAAGGCAAAACCAAGAGAAGCATCAGGCATAATTAATGAGAGTACATTTCTTCAGCTTCCTTCCAAAGGACCTGACAGGGCAATCACTAAAGAATTTAATACAATTTTTAAATTGCACTTTACATGAAGCATTTAGAGAAATCAAGTTCATAAAGACAGGAAGCACCTAACAGAGGTTACTGGGACTGGGGTGTGGAGAGAGGCGTGCTGTTACTGTTACAGTTTCGGTTGGGGAAGATGAAGTTTTGGCAGTGGGCTGTGGTCACAGTGGCACAACACTGAATGAGCTTAGTGTTTTTCTCAATCACACACCTAAAATTAGTTAAAATAGTCAATTTTACATAAGGTACATTTTACCATAATGAGAAAATGTTTCCACCAAAAAAAAAAGAGAGAATCTTAAAAAAAAATTCACAAAGATAATATTTATCATTTGCTCAACTTTTCAGTTTGTGATTTCTAGTAGTCGCCTCGCCTCTGCGTATACGCTGTTACACAATCTGTCAAGTGGAAATACAGTATAAATGACTTGGATAACGTAAAATGAAGTACTCTATGCACAAGTACTTTAAAGAACTCAGTGCAAAAAAGACAAGTTATAAAGGGCTCCTAGGTCAAAGGTCAAAAGCCACAGAAAGCAAGTGACACAAACCTGGCTCACCATGTGGACCTCCCCCCATAGTGAGAACCCAGAGGATAAAAACAGACAAAAAAAAAAATCCTTACTGTCTTGAGACCTAGGTAAAAAAAAATCCCTGTTTCCAAAGCATTGCACAATATAACAATAACAACAATAATAATAAAGGAGAAAAAAAAAAAAAACAGACAACAGAAAGCTAAGGAAAGTGCAGACTAATAGAAACAAAGGGACCTAAAAACCGATCTAGTCCTACCAGCTCATGTTGCAGAGGAGCATACACTGGCAGGGAAAGAAAGAAAGAAACTGAAAGAGAAAGAGAGAGAATGAATACAACCCTATTCAAGTACCTGACAGCTTCATGAGAAAATCAGACGCCATCTTAACAGAGATGTCCTGGCTGAACAATGCTGACGCACTGTTGGCCACATACTCGGAGGGGTCTTTCAGCTTTGTGTGGTTGGCGGGCCTGTCGGCAGAATTCAGGCTAAAGGAGGTGGGCAGGCCGTTATCTTCCTTGGGTTCCTCCTTCACCAGCAAAGGCGAGATGCCAGCCCCACCCTGGCTAGTCCTCTCGGGAGTGTTAGACGTCATCATGGCCCCCACTAGCTCTGTCCCTCCTCCTTCCCTTTGCTGCCCCAGGCAGGCACTGTCACTGAGGTGGGAAGGTCCCTTGACATCTGGGTCTGGGATCTCCTCCTTCACCTTGGCCTCTGTCCTCAGGAAGTGCTGATGGCAACGCATGTGCAGTTTCAGGCTGAAGTGGCGGGAGGAAGTGAAAGGGCATAGCTGGCACTGAAATGTCTCTCCCCGGTCCTGGTGCTGATGAACCTGACAAAGAAGCAAGAAGAATGAGCTGGCCACTGTGCAGTTCAGGAAAATGCCTTTGCTGTACACCCAAATCGCTCATGCACCCTCTACTCCCTGCACCGAGGGCTGGCCCAGGGAGAAAACACCCCGAGCAGCATTTCCTTACTGTTCTCCAAGCAAGAGGCTCAACCCCTACATTAAAAAAAAATAGGGTCTACATGGGTTAAGAGCTCATTACAGTGTCATGTTCACAACTGAAGACGTCACATGCCAACAGATGCCGGTTTTGGAGGAATCCTCCTAGTATTCAAGTCATCCCATCTCCCCTAATGTCTTCAGAGAACGCATTAGAATCCCCGCACTTTGCGCACTTACATAATTACCAACTGGAGGTCAAGAGAGGTAACCAGTTAATTCTTCTCACAACACAAATACTTCACATGTAACCAATTATTGTCATCCAGAGAATTAGTTACGTTTTGCAAACATAATTTCAATTTTCAAAATGCTGCTCCTAGGTAATTAAGTAGGTAGAAAATAATGTCTCCCGGGTATTCCTGATTCATTGTCAGAGATGTGGAGACCCCCCAGAAGAAGTGGTCTGAGAAAAATTATCTATGAAGAATGCAAAGGAGGAGCAAAACCAAGGTCTAGCCCTCATCAAGTATTCTGGGCAAGAGGAAACCAACGTTTCCAAACGTGGCTGGAAAATCAAGCTCTGGATTCTAATGTCTGCGGTGAAAGAATGTAGACTTTGAAATGCCAGTTGCACACACAGGATACCTGTAAAAGCTGCGAGCAACTTTCTTCTTCCCGTCACTACCAAATTTAGTGCTTCAAAAAGTGAGGAAATCATCGTGTTGGCCCGAGGCCGGCTTGGAGCTGGCAGGTGCTCCTAGGCTAGTAACTCTCCCATTCATTTCTGCCAATGTACTTCAGCGTTGACCTGTTGCACCCTGCTATTTCAGGACTGGCCCTTCCTCAAGTAGAATCTGCCAATTGTGTAGATTTGGGCCAAATCATCTGGGGAGTTGTGTGCCCTGAGAAAACAAGCACCTAAGTGATTGGAATGAATTCCCAACCAAAACAAGGCTGACACCTCATCATTTGGGGGTGATCTGAGCAGGATTTGAACCCCAGGTCTCAAGGGTTAAGGGCTAGTTTGCTAATCCACCGCAGCACCTGGCCCGTCTGTACAGAGTGCCTGTCCAAGGGAGCAAGTTTTACTACAGCTGTTTATGCATTTTGAATGCAATCCAAAAGCATTATTCACTAGCCAAAAGATACTTTTAAATAATGTGAAGTGACCAACAAAAGCAAAGAAATTAAAAGTTAATGGTGAGATCCTGTCGCTATAGCACCCCACTGTGGCTTTCTGAAAACAACACCACAAGAGATCCTGCACACCCCAAAGTGTGAGATTCCCATCCCCCTCAACCCCAGCAGGAACAATCTTAGCGTCTTAAACTCAGTTGTAGCAAAGTGCTACTCTTAAAAAGCCTTTCGTTGCTGGGCAAGGGTTGGCACGGGGGACACACAACTTTGGTCCCTGGCTGTTCACATCCCTTGGAGCTGAGAGGTTTCCATTTGCTTTCTCACAGAATCGAGAACATTCCCTTGCCACCTCCTCCAACGCAGCTGCCACAGAAGCAGTCACCTTGTGGGGCCTAAGGTCAGAGTCCCATGAGACCTTGACAGGTGCTGCCAAAATAACCATGCCCGGGAAACCAGGTGGTAAAGGTCACGAGGCAGGGAGCTTCTGGCATCCCCAGAGCAGTGCTGTGGGGCAGATTCCATTTCATAAGTGTCCTCAGATCTATTGACCTAGGAGAAGAGCTGAGCCAATCCAAGAACAGAAGCTCACTCGGGAAGCAGCTTCTGGAAGAAAGAAAAAAAAAAAAAAGGAAAAGACAGCACACGGGCCCAAACTCTTAAGTGGAGAGGGAGCCTTGGAGAACTTGAAGAACTTGTGTGTGTTGTCTGTGTGGCTGCTATCCCACCTAGCCCCTGGCCTTGTTCTAGTCAGCGACGAAAAATCTGAGAAGGTTGAAACTTTGTGTTGGTGAGCTGGGCACTTAAAATTTTTACAGGAGCTACAAGTTGCCAAAGGGAACTACACCAGGGTACTTCCAAAAGTTCGTGGAAAATGGAATGAAAAGGTTCAAGTTAATTGGGGCAGGAAAAGAAGGTGACATAGGTGACATCCGTGCATGGTTTCTAAAGTTCTTCCCTGTACACACTCGGCAGTTGACAGAGATTTTAGCTCTACCTCCCGTGGTCATCGCTCCCTGTCTCTCTCCCAAGAGGAACACTCTGCTGTTAGGTTTTTATCCTTTTCAGCCTGATTCTTAAGTCCTCCTCAGTTCACTAACATGATGTGCTAATCTAAATGCCCAGAAGTTATTCTCTACAGGCCACAAGCAGGGATCCACATCCTCTCTGGCCACTTCACAACCTGCAGCCCCCTACCTGGCACTACTCCAACTTTAGCAGCACTAGCAGTAGTCCAGAGCCATGGGATTTCAGACTTTGGGGAAACATTTACTCCATGGCCGTTAGGAACCAGGCCAGGCAGGCAGTGGGCCCTGACGGTAAGCACTCCATGCAAGGCAGACCCAAGACCTCAGAGCCCAGCACCTTGACTCTTGTCCAGTTTCTTGCTGATACTTTTCCCCAACGTTCTTTATCTTAGCAGTTCTTTCTGTTCAATTTGTTTGCTTATGCATTACACATTTAATTCCTGTGTGCTCACTCATCCACAAAAGTTGTAAAAGACTTAATGGAACTCTCCAATAATCCTGAGGAAGCTGGAAGCATTGACCAGCTCTCTCTTCAGCTGGTCATAAAAACATTTCAACAATATATTGTAGAGGAGAGGTTGACTTCAACAATGCACAGTGCTTGGCACGTAGTAGGAACACAATATGGGCAGACACTGTATTCACTGGATTCAGAGCCCAGAGTGCTCACCATTACACCATGGAACCCTACTCGACACTGTATTCACTGAACAGAAAAGTAGAATGGCAGCCTCCCTAAGCGAATCTACCTAATCACTAGAGAAGAATTTACATCAATTTGGCAGTGCCTGTTTCTGAATGACGGGACTAAGAGTGAAATACATATTTTATTTGTTACGGTTTTTCTAAAGTCTCAGCACTCAGGAGATATCACAAAAAGAGAAGAAGATCTAGAGTATCTTAAGCCATTTCCTTATTTCTAAACGCAAACATGAATGTTCAGTTGGGGGGTATATTTACAATAATAGCTACATTTATTGAATGTTGTGTCTGCGCTGGGCACCATATGGAGTGCATTATCTTATTTAACTCTCATAACAACTCCACATGATAAACTGCACGATTATCGTTTGTGTTAGTGGAAACAGAGTTTTTGAAAAGGTGAAATGACTTATTCTAAAATCCCACAGTTTCTAAGTGTGAAACCAGGATTTTAGTTCAAGTTTTTCTGACCACAGAGCTGGACATCTTAACCTTGGCTCTGTGGCCCTCACCTTTCAAGCAGTCCATACACAAAACAGAGCAGCCTTTATGTTTCTGTAGGGACTATGCATGCCAGATTTAGTGCAATGAAAACAGGTCTAATTAAAATAAAATCAAGAGTGATTTGATCTCTAGGAAAAGGGTGCCAGGTGAGGTGAGCAGCACGAAAAAGAAAGTACGGTGTTTGATGACATTGAACTTGGATGAGCCCCTCTCACACTTCTTTCATCAAAAGCTTGAGTCACAACTCAACAGGTAAGGACCCCAGGAGTTTGAATAAAGTGGTAATTTCACACAACTGCTTTATTGTACTGGTTATTGATTTGTTCTGAAAGCATTCTAAGACCCCATGACCTGCAGAGCCCTCACGGCTCTCATCTGTTACGCTGTGAAGGCCAACTGTCCACATCATCAAGGCACCCCACTCAGCTCCGGGCAGTTTCAGGGTCAGCAGTTCCCGCTATTGAAAACCCAGCCCTTTTTTTCCCCCTGTGGGTTTATAAATAGGTTGTTTTAAGTGACCCTGAGCTGAAACCAAGCTTACAAGGTGTCGGGCTAGATGCAAGTTTTCTGCTCACTGAAGCTTTAAATTTGCCAGACTTGATTTCTAAACATTGCCTAGGACATCATAGGAACTTAAACAAGCGTGACTCTTAAAGGCCTTTATTGTAAAGTCCCATCCTCCTCATGAAATGCAGTTCTGCACGCTTAAAACATGAGTTTTTACTTTGGAAAGAGGGGAGAAGGGAGGAGGAGGGCTAAATTAAACCGAAGCAAGATCACTCCAATCCAGCCAACAGAACTCCTGATGAAATGGATTCTGAAGAGGAAGGGCACATTCCTCCCAGGAGAAAAAGGCAAATGATAGAAAACAAATGACATCATGGATTTAATGTTTTTCCAATCTTCTAAAGCCGGGAACAGTTATATCTGGTCAGACTTTGGTAGACCTGGAGTTCTTAATAATAATGACGGATCTGTTTGGGGAATTAGACCTCAAGATTTTGAAACCAGCTGCTATCTTAATTAAGTGTATAGCCTGTGTGTCCTATGACATGAAAGAACACACTTGATAAGCAGTATCAGCAGCCAAGTCACACAGAAAAGATCAATGAAAACACAATTATTCCTATTATAAGGCATTCAATGATAGCTTTAAAATGAATAAATTGCGGTTGGCTCAATGGCTCAACTGGCTAAACCTTCACCTCCAAGCACCAACATCCCATATGTAACCCGGCTGTTCCACTTCCCCCCCATTCAGCTCCCTGCTTATGGCCCAGGAAAGCAGAGGAAGATGGCTCAAGTCCTTGGGACCTTGCACCCGGGTGGGATATTATGTTGCAGCTACTTGGAGAATGAACCAATGGATGGAAGATAATTGTCTCTCCTTCTCTCTGTAAATCTGCCTTTCCAACAAAAAGAATCTTCTATTAAAACCATAAAATAAATGAATAAACTCCATCAAATACCTGCTCACATCATCTTCTTAAACACCAGTGACAGCTCTTGCAAATGCTACTGTCCCGGTTGAGAAGATGAGGAAACTGGGTAAACTTACACAAGGCTAACTAGCTAATTAGCTAATAAAGTGTACAATAAAACGAAAATTTGGGTCTATGAAATTGAAAAGCTCATGCTCTTGTGGCTTCATGAGTTCCTCCTTACATTTGAGACTAAATTCTTAGGGTCGATGTCTGCTAAAAAGGCTTCTATCAGACTAGGTTTCATTTCCTCTCCAGTATGAGTGACATAGTTCTGGTCAGCGTGCAACATGACTAAGGCAGGTACAAGGTCCTCAACTGCTGTTAACGGGACATTGAAAATGGTGACCTTGGATGTGTGGCAAACGGAAACGTGGAAATACAACGGACCAAACACTGACAGCTTCAAAGAGTGCTCTCAGTCTGTTCTGAGAAACAAACCTGGCTCCCCTGAAGCCTCCCACAGGAATAAAGGGTCTCTGGGTAGAACTCGAGCCTTTCCAGGAAGGGTGGTAGGCCCAAGAGCCCTCTCTCTGGCCATCAACACAGTGGCTTTTCCTGGATTTGGTTTGTTCCTCCCCGTTTCCTCCTCCAGAAACGCTTTACAGAAGCAAGGACAGGTTAAACTGTTGCTCCCCTGTGGAAAAGGACACTTCTACACTAAGACTTTAGATCCTTAACATTCTCAATGGCCTCCAGTTGCAGTTGTTCATATAAGGGCACCAATACCTATAAAGGGAACCCTTGCCAACGTCCTTCCACTGTGAATTCTACTTGGCCACACTGTGTGCTGCCCTGCACATGCTCCACTGCTGGCGCCCTCTTTCAGCTGAGAAGTCTCCAGCACCGTACCATGTGCAGGTGCCCTGGCTGCACTTGCCTTCTGAGTGAAGCAGGTCCCCGGGTGGCTTACCTTCATGTGAGATTTGAGATTGTCCTTGCGAGCACACCGGAATGGACAGAGCGGACACTGATGGCTTTTTAAGCCTGTGTGAATCACCATGTGTCGCTTCCAGTAACTCTTCCTTTTTATAACCAAACCACATATTGGACACTGGAAAGGCTTCCCGCTTTCCTCTTCAGAGGCTTGGAAGAAGGAGAAAGAAACATTAAGAAAAACAAAAAGGTACTTTGCACCTTCATTGCAGTAAAAGTGATTTGAGGGTCTTTTTCTTTGCAATTCCAAGATTTTATCCCTGCGAAGCTTTGTGATTCATTCTCCTTAAGTAGAAACCCGCATTCACCAAATATCTTCCATTTGGGTCCTGTTTTCCAACAAGGTGGCCTCATTGGGCCACCTTGTGAAAGTCTTCCTTCCCAAAGCCATCCATTACCTTGGAAACGTCCCCAAAAGGACTTCCCTTGGCTGGGCTCTCCTTATGTGCAGGCACCATGCATGGTCAAAAGATCCTGAATCCAGAGGCTTTGCTTCTTGAGGGAAAGTCACAGACCTAATTCCATATCTGAGCTCCTCAATTTGAAACGGCAAGAAATAAAGACAAACCAAGTGGGACAGAATACCACAGTTCTTCACTGAAAACCAAACAGCTGTGGTCAACCTCACACCCTGGGCTCCAGTGAACACACATTTCAGGATCCCTCCAGCGACTTGTTAGCTGGTGGCTTGAGCAGATGCTGCTGCCAATCGAGCGATTGGGGGAGGAAGGGGGTCTTAAAGTCAAGGTATGTTACTGTGTTGTTTCCGTCCCTTGGTCACTAACGGTTGGTGCTGTCTCCTGTGCAATGAAGTCGATCTCCTGTGCGCTGCCTCGGGAAGATCTGCAGTAGGCCACCACACATGATTCAATTTTTCTGGAATACAAACAAATCTACGCCCTCCTTGAAGCACAAGACTCAAAAGGCAACGATCTCTGGAGCCGCATTGTATTGCTAAACTTGTATTGCTCTGTGCTACTTGAACTCCCGCAATTTGGAGAAATAAAGAATAAACTCTAGTAGACATGAAGATTTAGACAATTTTTTTCTTCATCAGGAGGAATCAGAAATTGTTTCTGACCTGTTTCAAGGAGTTGTGATACATTCATAACATAAAATATAAGAAGTGAGCTTGAAAAATGAACAAAGTCTATACAGATGCTGTCATGAAAACATGTCCAAAATATTAGAGTTAGTGGACAAAGCAAAATACAAAACCATGGGTCCAGGGTGATTCTACTTTTTGCTTCCTAAAACAAGAGAACCAATGGCTGCTAAAAGTATTCAGTGAAAGACTGATAGGGACTGGTTGTAAAGGATGGATCAAGCTGACAACACCTAAAACTGTTGATGAGTATCATCAGTAAAAGCAGAACGTCATGAGCCTTCTGATGTGCCATGGGTGAAATAGCCTCATACAATTTTAATCAAGTCTTTATATAACGCAGTTTATTGGAAACACAGGTGATCAAAAAAAAAGTGTGAAACATATCCTGGGGATGGAATCAGCCAAATCTAGTGTGTGGGAATTCCCCAAGACAAATGACCCAGTTTCTTCGACACAAATGGCATTTCAAAAAGGGAAGGGATTATGGATTTAAAAAGAGAGAAAGAGAGAGAGAGAGAGAGAGAGAGAGAAGAGAGAGACTTAAGGAATACACGAAACAAATTTAAGCTGTGATGCTTACCTGATTGTGAAGAAAACTATTTTAAAAAATTACAATAATTAAGGAAATGCCATTAAATCCAGACAGTCCATAAAATCATGTTCTTGTTAGATGCAATAAGAGAACTGTGGGCATTTTATTTTAAAGTCCTTACTTCTTTATCTGTTACAGATGTGTGTGTGTGTGTGTGTGTGTGTGTGTGTGTGTATTCAGAACCAACCAGGTGTGATAACTGGGATTTGCTTTCAAATATTTGAGAGAAAAAAAGGACAGTGTAGGAAGAATGGTATGACTAAATGAAAACTGAATTCCTTTTAATTGCAAGAACACTTTCTGGAATCATACCCAAGAAGCTCCTAAGCAGTTGTGGTTAAAAGATTTGGGGATTGAAAAGGAGTCAGGGGAGAAAACTCGTGTTTTCACATTATATTCTTCCGTACTATTTGGATTTTTTAAATATACAGTTTGTTTTTACCATTTAAGAGAAAATCTTCCTGAGTATATACTTTAAAATAATCTCATTATTTATTTATCGAGCTGATTGGGTTTTTATATACAAAGGATCACTTAAACTAATGGATGGAACCCTGAAAGGTTAAAGCATTTTAAAGATGCAGTTCCACTAATACAGGTGTAAGTGATGTGGGGAGCAGGTGTTTGTCCCAACCATTAAGATGCCACTTGAGAAGACCAAATCCCCTATCAGGGAGACTGGTCTTTAGCTACCTGCTAACACCCCTGGAAGGCAGCAGATGATGATTCGAGTGAGTCCCTTTCACCCGCATGGGAGATCCAAAATGAGTTTCTGGCTTGAGCCTGGCCCAGCCCTGGCTGTTACAGGTGTTTGGGGGATAAAACAGCAGATATAAGACACTTTCTCTCTCTTTCAAATAAACAAATGAAGTGATAATGGTTAGCTTTACTATGCAACTTGAGAAAGACTGTTCCAGCTAAAAATAAATCCTCCATATCTGAAAATTCTACCTAGTGAAAATTCTTACACTACTGTGATAGTGTACCACAAGTATTTGTTACCGTGATGGGCGAGGGGGAGCATTGAGTTTCCTTTTACTTTGTGATCACGCCTCGCACAGACCTATAGGCAAGCGTGCTGGTTAACCTCCTGCAGCTTTCGTGCTGTTTGTTTTTGCTGGCTGCTTCTACTGATCTGGAGCGCTGGTCCCAATTTTGCTTCTCATCTCTCCTTCCTTGCCATCTCCTCCACCCTGGATTCTTGCTCTTACAAAGACCACACACCAGTGAACAGTAGATCTGAGAGGAAGGACAGAGTCAGGGCTCAGTGGGGTTACTGTCACATGCCAGAGCAGGCGGGGTGATGCTGAGGATGTCTAGTTTGGGTTGTAAGGACATCAGAAGTAATCAGACAGACACAAACAAGCTGCCACTGCTCCTTCGTCTTCAGCAGGTGGTTCTCATGTTTGAAATCTGAAAATACCTTATTTGTTAGAAATAAGGAGCAAAAACTAAGATAACGTCTTCCGTTCTGACAATTCATGACTCACTATAGAAGGTTATTTAAAAAGAAAAGGATCTGGTGTGAGACTCTGGGTAAGCCACTTCTTGGGACAAATTGAAGCACTGGTTCTTTAAATCCTGGCTGCTCCACTTCCAGTAGACTTCCTGCAAATGAGTCTGGGAAGGCAACAGGTGAGGGTCAAAGTACCTGGATCCCCTCCGCCCTACTGGGAGACCCGGATAGAGTTTCAAGTTCCCAGATTCTGCCTGACCTAGCCCAGCACCACCCACTGCAGAGACTTGAAGAATGAACCAGCACATGAAAGAATCTTTCTCTCTCTCTTTCTCTCTTTTTGTGCACACATACATGTTGGGAGTGACCAAGCAGACAAAGATTCTTCTCTGTCATTCTACCTTTTAATAAATTAATAAATATTCAAATTTTTTTAAAAATTAGCTGAAATCTAGCACCTTGCCTTGTCTAAAATGTGATCAGTATGCCTCCTCTTCTTTTTAAAACCCCAGTCCCCATCTTAATCATTGATTCTGTATTTCATATGTGCTGACAGAACACACTACATTCAACCCAGGATAGTAGTTTACCCTTTGTTAGTGTTCATTGATACCCACATGTATATGAATTATGCCCTCAAATTGAATGAAGAAAAAAAATTTAGAAGTCTCACAATGAAGAGAGACCAAATGCTATAAACGTGACCAAGCAGCTATAACTGCTCTCACAAAATAAAATAAAATAAAAATAAAAATAAGCAAAAATTAGGGTCCAATGTAGCAGTGAAGCAAGCTAATCCACTAGCTGTGGTGCTGGCATCCCACATGCGAGGCCAGTTCAAGATCTGGCTGCTCCACTTCCACTTCAGCTTCCTGCTTAGTGGTCTGGGAAAGCAGTGGAGGATGGATGACTCAAGTCCTTGAGTTCCTGCACTAATGTGGGAGACCCAGAAGAAGTTCCTGGCTCCCTGCTACAGATTGGCCCAGCTTCTACTGTGACAGCCATTTGGAAAGTAAACCAGTGCGTGGAAGATCACTCTCTGTCTCTACAATTCCACCTTCCAAAATAAATAAATAAATAAATCCTTAAAAATATAAGCTTTTTTTAAATTTTAACTTCATGTCAAGAAAAGAAGATAGGCCCCAATGAGAAAATAATCACAGTAAAATGACGAGTATCCAAATTTGGCCAGTAAGCTCTGCTGGTAACATTTGCATCTTTCTGCAGTCAAGAAAGCATTGCACTATTTTAGTAGGACACCCTCCACGTGCACAGGGGTTGCTAGCGACGTTAGAGCAGGGGGGGAAGTCAGGATGCACTCTATTTTGTGTGCCAAACTATTTTCAGGGAACTGACAGCTGTACATTTCACTCTAATTTAGAGCCTAAGGAAACATGACCACATCCGCAAAATGAACCACACATTCTTGCAGTAATACAGACTGCAGTGGTCATAATTTTACCTGGTTCACAAGCGCCTGACAGATATCTTCCTCCAAGTAAATAACTAGTTAGTAGTTAGTGTCACTGCAGGCAGAACGCAATTGCACCAAATTCAAGAAGACTCAGTGGGATGGAGAGCTGCCACTTTGCTCCTTCGGAGACAACATATTCTCTTCATGGACACTAACACTATTGAAACAAAAGGAGTAATGAATGTGTGCAGAATACCTTTCCCCCAGTAAATGGAAGCTATACGTAGTAGAAGACAGTTCAGCAGTAGGAAAGATGACAAACTCTGAACAGACCCTTGGAGACAGAAAACTCTGCCTTTTAATAAAAGCAGCAGAGCAAATGCAAATCTAAATAGCTGAATCACACAATAAATGCACAGCTCAGGGCTGGGCCCAACATGGTAGCTTGTCACTGGAGCCCTGGGAAGAGACGGAAGGGTGCATTGTGCTGTTGGGCTGTTATCTGGCTCAGCCAAAGGCTCATGGCCACATTAGCTCAGAAGGAGAAACAGACGGAAGAGACAGGAGAGAAGACAGCGCAGCAGGGAAATGGCTCAGCCAGAGCCTGCACGTCTTTATTCACCTGTGTGTCGCTGGTACCCAGGAGAGCGCCAGCTTCAACATACGACTCAATAAATGTATGTTAGACTTCAATGAAAATAAGTGAAAAGGGTTGGAAAAAAATGAAACGAGGTCTGGAAATGGAAGGAAATGATGTTAGCAAGGAAGGGGGCTGCTAGTAAGCCCCAAAGGAACTAGTGTTGGTCTAAGATTGTATGCTTTGCATAAACAAGTACACACCATACACATCTTCAGTGACTAGATGGATAAGCAGGTGCATGCCCATGTACTTATCCCCAGCTACTTCCAAAAATTAACTTCAAGCAGCATGCATGAAAAATTCACGGTGTGCGCCTACATCATTAACAAAGTACAATGATATATGTTGAACTATTTATGACAGACAAGACCTGCCTAAAGAAAGGCAGGCTTGAGAGTAAATTGGAAGAAACAACACATGTAATTCAAAAATACAGGGGAGAAAAATGTTTTCTGTGAGCTAGTTGTTTAAAAAGAGTGAAGAAGTAAGAAGCAAAAGCAAGGAGTTTGAAAGCAAGAGGGAACCTTAGAAACACAGACCAGCTCAGTTTACAGATGAGGAAACTGAACTGAGCTGAGATGTCTGAAGGCTTGGTGCTACTCAGTGGTGCCAGAATCAACCTCAGCTGCCCATCTGCTCTTCTACCTCGTGGTCTACACATAACTCCCCTAAGTGACCGAGAGAAAACTGTGCTAGGCTAAAAACATAAAGAGCCCAGATTAGCTGCTTTAACTCAGGGCTACATCTTTTTAAATCAATGTAATTCTTTTGTAGATTTTTGAAAGAAGCAATTTTCCATTGTTAGTCCCTCAGTGGAAATCTGCAGCAAGCCGGGGTAATTTGCAAACTGGTGGTTTTTGCCACAGACCTTATCAAATGGAAACAAGGAACTCAATATGCCAGGTGACTCGAGTGAGCATCCATAGTATTCCGGCTTTGGATCTATTCACATGTCTGGACTGACCCCTCGCCCTTCCCTCGTAACCATTTGTATGGCCTTAACATCGTTTAGAAACAAGTCTTGGGCATGTCTCTGAAATGTACTTCAGGACAACAACCATAACAACAAACACTACATTGTTATTGTGGTTGACATGATCAATACATCTTTTAGCAGCTAATTAGCATTCAATAAAACTAACAGACATGCAATAGCTATAGTCAGCCCAAGATTAAGTCACTGGGAAAAAAAAATGACTGAGATCAGGGACAGTTCTGAATTATGGCTGGAAAGCGAATTTTCTAAGCAAGTTCACGCATTTGGTCATTTTCAGACGAAGGGTATTATCACCATGAACTTGTTGGGAGTGTCAGAGGAGGTTATTTCCCTCTCTGGGCTTCATGGACATTACAGTCATTTAAATAGTATCATATACACATGAAAGATAACAGCAGGCTGAAATCCCCTGGGTTTGGCCCCAAGAAAGACTTTCAGCTCTCTGCTGTATGGGACCAGGTTGCTTCCAAGCCTTTAAAACTAGACCCAGTACAAGTAGAAGCTTTGGGGGTTCCTCTTTCTGGAACTCTCCCTGTTAATCCTTTCAACTGGGATCCTGGCATTAGGGCCTTTTGCTGGTCTTCTACAAGAAACTTTGTCTTAAAAATAAAAACCATTTATTTTATTCTTAGCTGCCACAGCACAGCAGCTTCAAAGAGAATTGAGTCAATGTGTGACATTTATCTTTATAGCAAACGGACATCATCTTCCCTCTTTCGTGTCCCCTTTCAGAGGAGTGGTGCTGCATGTGCTGGGGATGCAGGGTCACATGAAAGAAACCTTCTCCATCCCCCCCTGCAAATCCCCGAGTCACATCTCTCTTGCAGGGCAAAAAGGCTATCCAGGGGTGGACTTCTTAAGGAATTAAATACACCAAGACCTGGCAACAACGGAATTCTGTTCAGAAAAGAAGAATAAGGCCAGACCTGAAAGACACTGTTCCCCCATGGTTTGGACTTCTCTTGACCTAAAGAAGGTCAAAGACATGCTGGTGTTAAATTGCTCAAGACAGGATTAGCTTTTCCAGCACACATCTCTTTCTATACCCTTTTTGCAACATTTGGGGAAAATAACTTTTGAAAAAATCTAAGCCCTGTTTGAAATCAGACGGCATATAGTCTAAATTTGTGGGGAGTTTTGTTGTTGTTGTTGTTAGTTTATGTGTTTTCAGTGATTATTTGTTTATTGAAGTCATTGTCTAACAGAAACTCGTTCCTGCTGAGAGAAGCCAGTCTACCTATCCATTGTGAATTATACTATTTCCTCTAAGCTAATAGGGGAAAAATCATAATAAGCAAAGTTCAGAAACACGGGTGATGGCTTTCCCCACGTTCCTATTTTGCACTTGACATGAAAGCAAGTTAAATCTCAATCCAGCTTCCAGGCTGCCCTGAAGCCAGCACACAGTGCCTGGAAGTGGGAGAGGTGAGAACAGATGGAGAAGGTTCATGCTTCCTTCCAATCCTCAGATTCCAAGCACAGTGATCCTGAGTGTCACCAAATCACATCTCCACAATACAAAGTGAAGGAACTAGATATTCTGTGAATCCGTTCTTAACCCAGAACAGGTTAAGTCAGGCTGCCGGGAAAGGGCAGGTCTGATTGCTGAAAAAGCACAGGCATCCTATGGTCTCAATTCCAATCCATGCACTAATAAACAGAACTTGGTTTTAGCAAGCTTCTATGTAGACACATTGGGTATTTTTTTTTAAAGTAAAAGAGGTTAGGGCTGTCATGTTTTTCTTTGCAAGTAATCTTTCTTCTTGTACAAATTTTTACAAAATAAATGATTTTTTAAATAATTACTCTGATATAGCTCTGCTTCATCATGCCTTGGATTGTGAACATAGATGTGTAGAAAATGGGAGAGAAACCTGAAGTACAAGCCAATGCTTTGTCTTTCTTGTTCCAATCTGAACATCTTAAACACCCTCTGGTTAAAATAGTACGTGTTTCAGCAACAGAATCAACAAAATTCAGTAAAAAGAAAACACAATTTTTATACCTCTCCCATATTAAAGTTGGTTGAGATGTCAGCATAGCATTAAACCAAAAAGATATCACATCTTTTTCCAAGGTTACATATCCTACAATCAAACAAAAAGTCTTTGCATCTCCAGGAGCTCATGACTTCCTTCTCATCTTTTTACGTGCAACAATTATGTACAACCATAGCCAATGACTAAGTCCGTATAATGTGCGGCCTTCAGTCAGTCACTTCTTTCCAGGTCTTTGGATAACTAAGGCTTATTATTAATCTTGGATGGGCTTTCCTAAGGAACTAATGTCCAGATGAATTTGTATGTAAACAATCATACATTTTCTCAGTAACTAAACATAGAGATTACTTATAAAATATTTTTATTTAGCCATACTCCTCTTTCTGCTGCTATCTCTAAATGAAATTTATGTTGCTTAGCAGAGCTTTATTCCATTGTAAAAATTATCCAGTTCCCTTGGTTATTAATTTTAGCCATTTCTCTCCTTGTTTCACCAGATGGCAGGTGAGAAATGAGAAATGAAATGCAGAACTGATACACATTTCAGAGTCTCACCGACACTACACGAACGCTCAAGTGGAATGGCTTGGATTACTCAGAGACACAAAAGCCCCAGCGATCTATCTTCTATATTCTATCATGCTGTTTCCACAAACTGTAAAGTAATTATAAATACTGCATTGAGCTCACTCAACAATTGTAATGGAAATTATCATAAAGGCAACAAAGGGATGTTGGTGATGATTGTTCGGTCACATATGTGCCATCCGGAGAGCTCTCCATCAATAGTTGCTGCAGATCATCAAAGATTGGCTAGACATTCACAATGGCAGTGTTTATACTGATGGGGGCACACAGAGCCCACTCCTTGTTCCAGTCTGGCAGGATATTCTAAAGAGACATTGGAAACCACACACATCCATCCAGCCCCAGGAATGTGTTAGAGCAATTCAGTACAAGACAGTACTGAAATGACTTTCTCCCCCAGTGGAACAACTGTGAAAGCCAAGGCTCTATACGACAGCGACTTCTCCCTTGGAAGGACTATCTCCACTAGAGAGACTTGTGACTCAGATTTTCCACATTCTTTCAAACTCTGATTGGATTTGAATAAAATAAAGCAGCGACAAGAAAGGCTTTGAATATGTGTGAGGGACAATATTTTTTAGACTTCTTAGATGACAAGGAATTATCTTAGGATAGGGCAAATGAAAAAGCCTCATATTTCACCAAAAAGAAAAAAAAAGTCATAAAAATGCTGGCAGCAAAGGATGTACGATGATAAATTAGGACAGAGCAGTTACTGATTACACAAAAGTCCATTTGTGATGGAGGCAGCGGGAGGGTGGACTGTCCCTTGTCCACTATTTCAAAAGCAGTGTGTTTTTTTTTCCTTCCTTGTTCAGGGAGTGCCACACGCTCCATGACAAAGATGCTTTGATCTTCCCCCATTAAATATACCTTGTATGGACCCAGCCTGAACTTGGTAAGGAAAAAAAATGCATATGAAAGGGAGGGAATACTGAACCGCTTTAAGATTATTCATTACCTTTCAAAAATGAAACTATTTGTGAAGCCTTTGCGTAACACACACATGAAAGACGGCTACACTGCTTACTTAAAGTATTTGGTTGTGTTTGCTTTATTTTTTTTTTCACCCCTGCCTCAGATCAGAAGAGAACCCCAAACGGAAAAGTCGATGAATAAGACACGGCAGTGGACAATTAAAAAAGGAAAACACACTTTTAGATGATGATTGAAAGAAAAGATGCCATACCTGAGCTGGAGGGCTTGGATACTCTCCCCTTAGCAACTGGGAGTAACAATAATTCCAAGGATTGCGGCGGCGGTGGTGGAGGTGGCGGTGGAGGTGGCGGGGTCACTTTCTCAAGCTTCTTCTCCGAAGGCGGTGGCGGGAGAGGATCGTCAGGCAACAGAGAGGACTTCTCGGCCAGAAGGCTGCCGGCGGCCCTTGCCGCTACCTCTTTGAGAAGGGCCGCCGAGGAGGTCATGGAGGCCAGGGAAAGGAAGGAGCTGGCAGGAGGCGGGTGCTCCTGACCGGGGGTCAAGCTTCTCTCGCTGACCTTCTTGGACAGAGCTGCCAAGGTAGAGCTGGCGGACTGGGAGCTGAAGGGGGAGGAGAAGGACTCAAAGCGCAGGGTGTCCTCTGTCCTGCTGAGGGATTTATCCTGCAGCACAGCGTTGGCCGCAGCCTTCAGTTTGAGGATGGCTGAGTCTGGGGACAAGCCGCAGGTGGTGGTTGAGTTTGGCAACCACTTACCTTGATTCCATAGAAAACGGCTACTTGGAGTGTACTGGTCGTTCTGGTCCTGCTTCTCAGCCAACTTCCGGGCCAGAACACTGAGCTGTTGGGCATGGTGGGCCGGCGGGGAAAAGGAGAGATTCGTGCTAACGTTGACAGGGGACTCCACTCTGCCATTGGCCGTGGCTGTGGCCTCAAGTTTCAGGGAACCGGCCTCCAACAGCCGCCTCAAGTTGCTGCTCAAGGGCTTGTTGGCACCTGGGGGGTCATCATCGCACAAAGATGACACTCCAGGTGAAGGGTGGTCTTGACATGGCAGGGAGTCTCTCAGGACCTCACCGTCGAGGGCCACCAGTTCCAAGGTGTGGCTGCTGGGAGTCGCACTTCCCAAGGAGGTGTCCGGGGATGTGGACTGCTCCTGGATCCGGTCCTCCAGGGACAACTTATAGTTCTCCTGGACTTCCCCATAGGAAGCTTCTGACGGTGTCTCGGAAGAGTTTCCATACCAATGTTCTCCTTCACTGAGTTCTCCCTCGGCCTCTTCCTGCCTACTAACATCTGGGGGGAAATAAGAACATCAAGTTTACTCCCACAGTAGGCAATAAAAAACCCCAAAGACGCATCCCCAGAGCTACCGACCTGCCTTCTCTTCCCTACTAACCCAAGAACTGAAAGAATGACAGGCAGCAACATCATGAGGAGATGGTCAGATACTGAATCAAACACACTTGGCAGAAACACACTACCCAGACAAGGGTAACAGCACCCCCACACAGTGCATACATGAGATCTTCCAATAATAGTCCAGGTATGCTGCTTGGCAAAAGAGGGGAAGATGAGAATGTATGAGACAAGAAGAGGCTGGATGCAAAAAAGGAGCTATTTGCCATAAGTGGCAAAAATGGAAAGAAGTTTGTTTTAAAGGAAAGAACAGCAGGGTATGTTGAGTATTTTATCAGAATCTTGATTCCTGTCCTGGTGGCTCCGTTTTCTTGCTAATGCAGCCAGGAAAGCAGTAGATGACTTCCCAAGTACTTGGGCCCCTTACCCATGTGAGAGGCCTGGATGGAGCTCTGGGCTCCTTGTTTCAGCCTGGCCCAGCCCTGGCTGCTGAGGTCTTTCAGGAAGTAAACTAGCAGGTGGAAGAACTCTATTTCTCTGTCTCTCCCCCTCTCTCTGCTATTCTGCCATCCAAATAATAAATCTTTTTTAAATATTAAAAAAATGAATTAGAGGTAGATTGGCCAAACAGGAAAATTCTGACCATGAGATGCAAGTAGTTAGGAAGCCACTTTGCTATTTTCTAACTCCAGGACCTGAAGCAAGGCACTTATTTGGCTTCAGAATCCATTTCTCCAAAGTAAAATGCAACTTATTTTTCAAAAAAAGTTTGCAAACAATGTGGATGATTGTTGTATAACCCCCTCCAACCACTGTAATGAGGCCATGGTTTGAAAACTGTCAACCACTCTAGAAAATACAGATCTCATTAGCAAACACCACCCCTATTACTGATAGCTTACTGTGACACTATCTCCTCCCCGCATTATGCAAGCTACTTAGCTTGAGAGTCTCCCATTCCAATCATCAACCCCCTTGCCATCTTATCACTGGGAATGTGTTCACTCACTTCATGAAGAGTCTCCTCTAGACATTCATTCAGTGACCACCACTCCCACTCCCCAGCACCAGCTGGGGATTGTCACTGCAGGTGCTCTACCTTTGCTCTGGGTATTTTCTGTCTCCATTTTCAGAGACAAAGGAAAAGCCAAGCAGCCATGCCTACTCAGCCTAGCATATCCAGCTCACAAGTTCTGTCCTTCAACTCTCTCTTGTTCACCCAGTCAGATTTCATCTCTCCTTACACACTCATTCCCTCTCCCAACAGATAGGCAGGGAGAACTTGCAGCAGCCCAGACGCTGTACTAACCTGAACACGAAACAAAGCAAAGACACTGTTTTCTTGAAGCTTACATTCCAGCGGAGGAGGACAGATGTTAAAATAATTCAATAAATTAGTAACTGACACAGAAAAAATATAAAGCAGGACAAGGGTGACTGAGGCTAACAGATAAAAAAGAAGCACTTGAGATGGATTGGTTAGGATGGGGCTTTACTGGAGTGATGAAATTTAAGCAAAGACTTGAAAGAAGTGAGGGGCTGCCCATGCAATTGTGTGTAAACAACAAGCCTGTTATGTCTGTGGGACAGGAAAGCCAGTGCAGATGAATGGTATGAGGGGGTGATGGACAGAGCAGAGCGGGAAGCAGTGTGTAAATGGACATGAGCACACGTTGTAGGGTGGTTATATAGCTCTGTAGGACTTTCTGATCTACTGATAGGTCTTGGGGAAACTGGGAACCCCCTAAGAGTGCTGGGCAGGGGAGTGATGCGATGTGGACACTTACTTTATCAAAGGACTGTTCTGATGGTCATTTCCCACACGGAATCTGTTTGTGGGGGCGGGGTGGGAGCAGTGAGGGAGGTGGGGAGAAAAGTCAAAAGGCGAGGATGATGGTGTTAAGCTCAGGTGCCCATAGGTAGAGAGAAGCAGCCAGATTCTGTGTCTGGAATGCAGAGCCAACAGTCTCTTGCTTTGTTGATCCTGACTGCATATCACCCTAAAGTATATGCCTAGTGTTGGCTTCTCTTCTCAAGGGCACGGAGGGTGTTTCACTATACACAGATTCCATGCTGTGTCTTGCACAGTGACAGGTCTCTGGCACAGTTCAATAATGTGCAGGAATCAAGCAACATTCCTACTGAGCCAAGTTTTCCTATGTAACATGCTGTTTCTTTTCAGAATAGAAATTGCTAGAACTAGTAATGCATGAACTACAAGCTAATACATTGATCTTCCCAAGCCACCTAGAAAAGAAATGTCACAAATGACAAATTCTCGTTCAGAACTAAGCTCAAGTTCTGCAACTCCTTCCCTAGATTCTTTATTAAGTTATCAAGAAAATGTAAAATATCAAATGGAATTTGTGGAGGAAAAACAGATAAAATTGAATTTTCTCTGTTAAAAAACAGTCGGGTTCTTTGTGATTTGCCACATTTCCTTCTCCCCACTCGATTTCTACATTTTTCATCTTTCCTGAAATTGGCAGTGACCTTGAACTCATCTCCCCAGTAGCTTCTCTTAGGGCTGCTTTCTACCAAACGTCAAGCAGTCAACATCAAGTTCAACAATGGGGCTAATTTTATGTTACTTTGGCAAGCCACTTTTCTTGATTTCAGTTTAAACATCTTAGCCTACAAGAGAATCACATGGGTACTATACTATAAATAGTAAGAAGCATAAAAGATTTAAAAAGTGTTACAGTAAGAGTCAGTTGAATAGCTCTTCTTAGTTCTTCATTGAGATTTATTAAATGAATAAACAGAAAAATTAAAAATTCAAAATCAAATACTTTTAGATCATCAAGACTGGTGTTCAATGCGTGCTGTAAGGCCATCTACAAAGGTTAAGAAAATCAGGTTTTTAAGAGTCACAAAAAGTTACACATGTACGTCCAGTCTTGTCACTTGATGAAGAAGATTGAATATATTAAAGGTAACTTGCTGAATCAAAGTCACACTCTTGCTTCTATCTGAACCAAGAACCCCAAATCTCTCTATATCCAGTCTGCAGTTCCACAGACAGGCTGCCAAAGGACCCTCCACACGGCACCTGCCAGTGAGCTCTGAACGGTTGTTCCTCCATCCCCCAGTCAACCTTCCATCTCCTAGAACCAGCACTCTGCAAAGCAGGCACTCTTCACGTGGAGCTAAGTCAGTGTGAAAGTGCCCATCTTATGTCCTGTCCTCTCCATATCCTGCCATCTCTTTGTTTCAGTGAGTTTGAGCACATCTACTAGCACAGCTCCAAAGGTGAAGCTTAACTTCTTAACTCCTCCACACTTCTAGAGAGCAAGAAAATCCCCCTGCAAATGTGCTGAAGCAGGTGGCTGTGTGCAAAACTACAACAGTTATCCATCTGGGTTCCAGTCCTATCCAGCAGTGACAGCATCACACCTTCTTGAATGACAGGAAAGGATAATATCCACATTTTAAAAGCAACCTTTTAAGATCCAAACAAGGAAAAATCATTTCTTAATCAGAATTATTTGTGTTCAAAAGCACTTAGATATTTTTCAATCCTCCATTCCCTGCAAACATGATCACTTAGACACACAATCCTGTGGATCTTACAAAAATTTAGAAACATTAGGAATAGTTTTTTTTCAGCTCCTAATGCTCTATTAATCACTCCTCCAGAAATGCTGCTACTGAAATTGAGGCTATTCAAATAACAAATCAAATAATTTTAATGCATGTCATTGAAAAAGCAAGAGCAGAAAGTTGGGGAGAAACATATCTGAAATTATTCTGGCATCACTTGAGGTCAATTGAAAAGTAGAAGAAGCTTTCAGAAGAATGAATGCCAGTTAAGTGAGGCTGTGTAGAGGTTAGGTAAGAATAACAGGCTCACACAAATTCGTTTGAGTTCACAGACAGCAAGGATTTTCTCTCACAGATGTTATTTTATTATTAACTATTATTTGCCTGCAGTGTGTCTGTTTTCACTTGCAGTGTCATCTAGGAGGTGACCTTGAAGGCTGCTTAGGTCTACTTGGGATGAGGTCCCCTCCAACAGTACCTTTCTCAGCCTGGGATTTCCGTTGGCTGGAAAAAGCACTCAGGCAATGCAGCTCAAAGGAAAGCGCCACTGCAATCTACTGGGTGACTTTGCTGCCGCCACCAACTTCAGGACAGGTAAGCCTTGACTACTGTCTCACTCTATCAGAAGTCCCCAGCAGAAAGATCCTTCCATTTTCTTGTCAGTCAACAGTTCAGAATCATGGCCCCGCACCGCAGAGCATGAATGCAAATTGGAAGCGCTTCCTGCCGATTTCACAGCTTAACTAAGACATCCCAGGGAAGCCTTAAAATGGCCAATGTAAATAATGTCTTGTAAATATATCATTTTTAACCTCTAGAAAGAGAGGCTATTTCCAGCATTAATTTTACCACAAGCACCCCTGCCTGATTCATGCTCATTCTTGCCTATTTTACCCAACAACGTGTGTGTGTGTTCCCTTTAAATTGCAAACTCACAGAATTAAGAATAAAAATGGTTACAATTACCAGACGAAAGCATGCTGAATAATTTTTTGTTGCCATGTGGCAAAAAAACATTTTTCCAAGGGGGAAAACAAAATTCCACCACCTAACACATTTATTTATAATTCAGTTCTCAAGCAACCACTCTGTAATTCAATAGCAACAACTCAGTGCATCCTCAGAAAAAAACACGTTTTTAAGTCGTTTCCTTTACAGTTTGACAGTTTGAATCAGAGGCACTTCATTGGACCAATATTCAACTCGAAACATCCTTGTTCAGAAATATCAGGAACAGAGAAAGAAGATGTAAGAAAGAAACACCTATCAATTGTGCTGAGTTTGAAGCAAGTGTCTCATTTATACACCTACCCTTGAAGTCTTCCCAAAGTGGCCAATATGAATCCAGCCAGCACGCATCAAACATCTCTTAGGACTTGCAGTTTGCATGGAGTTAACTCATTGTCAACCCTCTAACAAAAGTCAATGATTTCACCGACAGCTGTGCCCACATGTTACACCAACTACACTTAAAATGCTCCCAAGCTTTCCCATTTTAATGTACTACATGTCTACAGCTAAATATCCATGCCTGTTGTTGAAAAAGGCCACCCATCTGTCAGTATCATCAACTGTACCATCAGACCTGCTCTAAGGCAGACAACTAACTTTATATCCAATATTACAGAAAGGTGGTTGGTAAAGTTTACTGTATAGAAAAGTTATGCTGATTGACTGAATCCAACACTTACTGTGCAAGGAAATAGTCTCTGGTACAGGCAGCTCGACAATGAACAGTCCACAGGAGAGGAGGGGAGGGTTGCACAAGTGTTCAAAGCATGGGACTGGTGCCCCCACAGAGAGACACAGCACAGCACAAAGGAGGAAGGATGAATCCCAAAGGTGCCGATGGCTTTGGAAACAGACTTGGAAGGATGAAGATGTCACCAAAAGACATGGACAATTCATTGATAAACAGCCCGGTTCCTCTGCAAAGCATCAAAAGAGAACTACTGCAATCATGAAGAAAGCCAATATTCAGTGGATGACTACATTAACCCAATTGGGAGGGAGGGGAAGATTATTTAAATCCTAATTCACATTTTGAAAAGTGCACCAGCTATCTAATGATTTGTTAGAGGTGGAGTTTTCCAATTCTCTCACTGGTTTGGAAACCAAAGTGTTAGCTAATGAATCCCTTGTGGCCCAACCCTGAGCTAGCTATTGTCCCGCTCTGGCCCATGGCCCTGCTCTTTCGAAGAGTCAGTTTCTGCGATGGGCAGTTGGACTGAACCAGGCCATACTTTCTCAATTCCTTTACCACGCAAAACCAGGGACACAATGCAGCTTGCATCAGATACGATGCCCAGGGCACTCTCCCATTTGCTTTTAGTTTTTTCTCTGAGCTATATTTCCCAGGAGGCTAAACCTGGCTGCAACCGGTTCTGGGTTTTCACTCTCAACGACTTCCCCCATTGGCCGGTGGGAGGTCATGTACTCCTCCCTGGACCTATCCCAGAAGCCAGAGGGCAGGCTCTACAATTGGCTAGATGTGGGTCACGGAAGAAAGCAAGGGAAGGGATGTCAGGAAAACAAAAGCCGTGGCCTTTGCATATCACACTGTTCTGAACCCAGTTTACGCTGT